TGCACTATAGCAGTGCGCCACCGGGCCGGCCCAAAGTTTCAACTATTTCAAACCCCCTTTTTAAATACAGGTTAAACACAGGCTTTGGAGTCCAAACTGAGTTCAAATTCCAGCTTTGATTCTTATTACCTTGGCCACCTAGGACATGTCATATAACGTCTCTGTGACTGAGTCTCCTCATTTATAAAATGGAGTAATAATAATATCTACCATATAAAGTTATTCTCAGGATTAAATGTGAAATGCTGATCACAAATGCCTGGCAGCTGAATCGATATTAGCAGTAATAATTATTATTTTTATAATGTTTTGCAAAAGTACACTAATGATTCTTGAATAGAGTTAACCTAAAGGCAGATTTTCTTTTCTTTTTCCTGTTTCTTTTCCTTTTTTGTTGTTTTTCTTTTCTTTTTTTTTTTTTGCTGTAAAGTATTGAAAAGAAAATCAATTCCAGCATTTTGAAATACAAATTTGGGACAAAAACCAAATTTATTCACTTTATTGATTTATAAACAAAATGTTATTTAGTCAACAAATATTTATTAAATATCTAGTAAATTTCAGGCACACTGCCAGGCACAGGGATGACAATGACAGTAAGATATGTCCCCTGCCCTCAATCAGCTGACATTCCAGGAGACTGACAAGTATACATGTGATTACATGCAATGTAACAAAGGCTGTGATGTGATACAAGAACACAAGGGCTGGTGTGTGTGTGATGGGAGTATGGTTTTGACCAGTTCCTTCCCTTAGATGTAAACCTTTTTCTTTGGCTCCAAAGCCAAGGAATTGGTCCCATTTTTTTCTCCTGGCTTTTTCAGCACCACACTCTCCAAAGTTTTCTTGTGGTTTTTATGTTTTCTTTTGTTTTGTTTTGCAGCTGGCTGGTAGGTATATCCAAACCCTTGACTTTGATGTTACAAGGTGGTGTTCCAACCAACTGAGCAACCAGCCAGCCTGGTAAAATTTTTTTCTTGACTGGATGGATTAGCCATGGCTTTTTTTTTTTTTTTGAAATTTATAAAGGTGAAAGACAAGCACCTTGAATTATGGAGGACAGTATACTGTTTCCTGAAGAGTGAGGTTTTTCTACTGGTGAAGTCACTTCTAGGATTTTTGGCCTGAAAAGTTTTTTTGACATACTTTTTCTTTGCTATCCATTTTTTCTTTTCTTTTTCTGTTCTCTACTTTATCTTTTAGTTTCCAAAAGAAGAGGACTTTACAGATTCTAAGTATGATTTATATGTAAAGACAGAAAATGATGATTTTTTTAATGAAAAATTCCATACTACAAAAATGAATATAAACTTTTCATGCAGGGCCGGCCCGTGGCTCACTCGGGAGAGTGTGGTGCTGATAACACCAAGGCCCCGGGTTTGGATCCCATATAGGGATGGCCGGTTTGCTCACTGGCTGAGCGTGGTGCTGACAACACCAAGTCAAGGGTTAAGATCCCCTTACCGGTCATCTTTTTAAAAAAGAAAAAAAATTAAAAAAAAACTTTTCATGCAGTTTCATGCATATTGAAAATGCAAATAATTTTAATTTCATTGCATTTTTCAGAATTCTCAATCATAATCCTCTGACTACTGTTGAAGATTCACATCTTTTTAAATTGCCAGCATTAAAATATCTGTAAGTATCACAATAATGTCATGAGTCACGAGATGACTTCTGCTCTTCCTTTTTCCTTTCATCAAAGATTAAGTATTTTCACTTGGGCTAAAAAGTCATAATTTTAATTTTAACTGGGTTATTGTGGGAAAAAGTTATTGGCAAAGGAAAGGACTAAGAAAGGATGTATAATGGGCAAGACAGCCAACAGTGGAAGAGAGCAGAGTTGAAGAAAACATAAAGACATGGAACATGTAGACGCATGTAGGAATATCATTTATCCCAGAAAGCAAAGAGGAAGAGCTGCATGTTATTTTAAAAACGGGAAAAAAAGTGTAATCAAGACAGGTGAATGCAATTCAATATGAGAAGTAAGATAATGGTTAAAAAAAAAAAAAGGTAGAGTTTCTCTATTCAATCCCAAGGCCATTAGTTTAATGATGCAAATAAACTTAAATTTATTCAATAAGAGCTCTCTAGAATTATCTTCTATGGCCAATAAACTCTTAAGGTTATTTATAGAGAAGCCAAATTTGAAGTACTCATATGTCCTTGAAATGTGTTTTTAAGTACAGAACTTTTGTATTGGGTTCCTATCATGAATGTTTGGGCTTTCTCCTTCAGAGACATGGGAGCAACACAAGTGTCACTTACAACAATTGAGAACACCATCCTGATGTCTCTCGAATTGGAAAAACTGTAAGTTTTTTTTTAGATTTATTTTCAATTAGTTTTGGGGTTGTTTTCTTGTTTTCTTAAGTCAGGTTTATTGAGGTATAATTTTCACATAATAAAATTCACTCTTTTTAAGAGTACACTTTGATGAGTTTTGACAAATGTATGTCATGTAACCACCACCACATTCCCAATATGGAACATTTCTCTCCCCTCAAAAAGTCCCCTCATGTCCCTGCAGTCAATCCTCTCCTCCCACTACCAGCCCCTGGCAACCACCATTCTGATTTCTGTTCCTATACGTTTGCTTTTTCCAGAATGTCTTGTAAATGAAACCATGTAGTTTGTGGCCTTTTGCTTCTTTCACTTCATAATCCTTTTTTTTTTTTTTTTTTTAAAAGATGACCGGTAAGGGGATCTTAACCCTTGACTTGGTGTTGTCAGCACCACGCTCACCCAGTGAACAAACCGGCCATCCCTATATGGGATCCGAACCTGTAGCCTTGGTGTTATCAGCACCGCACTCTCCCGAGTGAGCCACAGGCCCGCCCCCTTTTTGTCTTTTTCTTACTGACCGGTAACGGGATCGCAACCCTTGGTGTCGCGCCCGCACCGGGGACCGGCAACGGGATCGCAACCCTTGGTTTTGCGCCCGCACCACGCTCAGCCAGTGAGCGGGAATCAGTCTCCACATGGGATCTGAACCCTCGGCGGGAGCGCCGCCACACTCCCAAGCGGTGCACTCTCAAGTGCGCCACCGGGCCGGGCCATCACTTCATAATCCTTTTAAGATTATGTTGTCATCCATGCTGTTGTGTCTATCTGTAGTTCATTCCTTTTTATTGTTGGGCAGCATTCCAGTGGTGTGGATATACCAGTTTGTATATCCATTCATCAGTTTATGCACATTTGGGTTGCTTCCAATTTTTTGGCAATTATGAATAAAGCTGCTAAAAATACTCACATGCAGGTCTTTGTGTGAACATATATTTTCAGTTCTCTGGGGTAAATGCCTAGGGGTGGGATTGCAGCATACATGCTAAGTGCATATTTAACTTCTTAAGAAATGGCTGAACTGTTTCCTACAGTGGGTGTACCATTTTGCATTCCCTCCAGCGGTGTATGAGAGTTGCAGTTGCTCCACATCTTCACCTGATCCTTCTATTCCAGGGTTTTTAAAAAAAAGGCAGCCTTTCTACTAGTAGGTGTGTAGTCACTGTGATTTTACTTTGCATTTATTTAACAGCTGATGATACTGAGTGTCTATTCATGTGCAAATATCATCTTTACTGAAGTGTCTGTTCAAATCTGTTCCCATATTTTGATTGGATATTTATCTTATTGAGTGTTAAGAGTGCTTTATTATATCCTCTGGATACAAGTCCTTTTTCTCAGATATGTGTTTAGTAACTACCTTCTCTCAGGTTGTGGCTTATCTTCTCATTATATTTAAAGTATCTTCAGAGAGCCGAAGTTTTTAATGTTTTAATTTTGATGAACTCTAATTTAGCAATTTTTTCTTGACTGGTTTGTGCTTTTTTGTGTCTGACCTAAGAAATCTTTGTTTAAGAACCCATTGTCTAATCCAAACTCACAAAGATTTTCTCCTATGTTTTCTTCTAGAAATTGTGTAGTTACATTTAGGTCTATGATCCATTTTGAGTTTTTACGTATGGTGTGAAGTATGTCATTTTTTGCAGTCTTTTATTTCTGTAGGGCCCTATTGTGACAGTTTGTTACACAACTCATCGCAGCTTACATTTTGCCATCCTCCCTCCAGTATGGCAAGCTAAATAGAAACGTGATGTTGTGCTAAGGCTAGTTGAGGGGATTACACAAGATCAGTATGGAAAAAGGTCCTTCATTTGCACTCTGCTGCAGTCATTTTTGTCAGGTCACCTCCTTGACTATCTTCACAACGTTGTCAGCAGATCCATCAGTTACTGCTCTAGCCTCATCACCCTCAACCTCCTGCAGCGTCTGACACAGTCGATCCCTCCCATGTTGCCAGATGAACTTCTCGCTGCATAGTCAAAGTTCTCATCCACCGGCTTTTTCACTTTGTTATCCACAGTAGTGGGGTTCTATCTGCTTTTCTCTTGTCCATTAGTGGATAAGAAAAAAGTGCTGTCTTTCTCTGTAGCCATTTGCAATCAAGGCCACAAAAGATTAAAGCAACTGACACAGTGGAGTTCATTATTGAAAGTCCTCGGGAGTTTAGACATTTATATACAAAGTAAGCCAGCCAGCTCATTTGAGTTTTGACTCCTGTGTAATGACCTTTAATGTGTATTGAAAAATAGTTATTCTCAAGTAAGGATAATCTACACCTCAGGTCATATGCAGTCTCAAAAATTGGTCAGCATGCTTTAAAACCATTATTTAAGTTTGTCATCACTTGTATTATTCCTAGCTCATACTTTATAATGAATAACAAAACTACAATATTTCCTATGAAGTGTTCTTGCTAAAAATGTTTCCTTGTTATATTCAGGTTGATCATACAAAACCAAATTGAAGAGCATTCTGTAAAACAATTGGCTTGAAGGCTTAAAAAATGTCAGTGCCATGAAAGATTTTTAAAAGATGGGAAGCAGTTCTAAATTGAAGGAGACTAAAGAATCGTGAAGAGTAAATGCAATGCCTGGTGTTTGGATTCTGGCTTTAAAAAAAAAAAATCTATGACATGACTGGGACAGTTGGGAAAATTTGTATATGGACTATACAGGAGACAGAGATATTCATATTAAATTTCACTGGGCAATAATAGTATTGGGGTATGTAGGAGAATGCCCTGGTTGTTATTGGATGCACACTGAAGTGCTTAGCAGTGATGGGTCATTATGTCTGCAACTTACTCTCAAATGGTTTGCCCAGAAAATGTATAAACATACCCACACTAAAGACAGATGTGGTGAAGTGTCACCAATTGTTGAATCCAGGTGAAAAGTATGCAAACGTTCATTATACCATTCTTTTAAGTTTTCTGTAGTTTTGAAATTTTCCAGAATAAAAAGTTGGGACAGGAAGGGAACAGCAAACACTTTGTGACAGAGTTGAGGTTGTCCAGAGTAAAATGCTGGATTGTTCTTCTGGGTCCGTTCTTTCTACATGAAGATCAGAAGCTTATACCAGACCCAAAAGAATAATATTAGTCACATGTAATTACCCTTCTAGAGGTTTGAAAAATGTGTCAGGCCAACTTATTGGATGCAGTTTTAATGTAAAATTCTTTACATTGTACTGTCAACTCAGCCTTCATGGACCCGTGAAACACACTTCTGTTTTGACAGTCATAATGTGGTCCTAATAAAGTGATCATTTTGGAGGACTCAGAGAAGGCACCCAAGGTGGGAGAGCATGATTACTTTTCAGGCAGCCTCTGCAAGTTAATAACTAATTAACATTTACTGAGCACTCACCATGTGGCAGGCCCTTTTCAGGTATCGATACATTTTTTGCTAAAAACTCAGAGGTAGGTGCTATTATAACAGAGAGGCTGAGCAACAGAGATTAAGCAGTTTGCCCAAGGTCACATTATTAGTAGAGCTGGGATTTGAGCCTCATCTGGTTATGGAATCTGTATTCCTTTTTTTTTTTTTTTTTAAAAGATGACCGGTAAGGGGATCTCAACCCTTGGCTTGGTGTTGTCAGCACCATGCTCAGCCAGTGAGCAAACTGGCCATCCCTATATAGGATCCGAACCCGCGGCCTTGGTGTTATCAGCACCGCACTCTACCGAGTAAGCCACGGGGCGGCCTGGAATCTGTATTCCTAATCACCATGCTATACTGCTTAAAGTTAACCTGGAGGATTTACTCCAGTCACAGAGACAGTTTTTATCTCCCTGAAACTGCATCCACTAAACCATAATAATAAGCTATTGGATATTGAGGAGCAAGATGGCGACGGGTCTGGAGCGGGCGTGCCAGAGGACACAGCGAACCTGAGAAGTGTGCGCTGTGCTGCCAGAGTACTATTTGCATTTCTAAGAGCAACAAAAACAAATAAATCACTGATCAACTAATCCACAACGAAAAAAAGCAACTACAGTCTCGAGGTTTTAGGGCCGATGCAAAAGAAGATTCCTGAGAGCACCCCAACCGCGCCGGGAGACCGAGCAGCCCAAGGCAACAAAGGCCAGGGAAGACGGCAGCGGCGACACAGACGGAGAGGAAGGCGCGGGAACGGCCCAGCTCTGGGAGCTTTGTGAGTGACCCCCAGCCTCACGGCCCCCGCTTACCACGCCAGACTAGGCGCCTTCATCAGCACTGCCTCCATTTTCTCCGGAGGGTGGAGCCGGCCGGCTCAGATCGGGCAAGCCAGCCATCTTTGCTTGGCGTGGCTCCTCACTGAGCCATGCCACTTGTGTGCCTCAGTGCGGGGCCCCCCAGGGCCTGTGGACCAGCCACCAATCCCACTCCACCTGCAGATCTCTGGCAGGGCTGGTGGCGTGGGGAGCCCCCGGCCAGCGTCAGGAGGGCAGGGAAGAGGATCCCGGCCAGACTGTCACTCCACCACACATGGGGCTTCCGGGAGGCAGATACCATCTCTGTGGCCTTCAGTTCGGAAAAACCCCAGACTGATTTCTGGTTGGGAGAGGGGTGACCAGGGTGCCCCCGAGCCCACTTGATCCTGCCAGAGAGCTGACGGCCTGAGGGCGCTGAGCTGGCTCACACTGGGGGGATTCAAAGAGGAACTGTGTGCTGTGGGATCCTCCCCCGGGGGGGCTCACACCCTGGTGTCGGAGATAACTCAACCACACAGGGGGCTGCAATACCAGGGGGAAGGTGGGAGGCCCAGAGAGGACCTTGACCAGGGCCGCAGGAACGCCCACAGTGTCCGTGGTGGAGGCCTCAGACCCCTTCGGGGATGGGCGGGGCTGAGAGACGAGGATTGCAGAAGACACGCCCCAGCCCTGTACTGAGTGCACAGAGAGGGGAGGGGTCCGGCAAAGGAGGAGGAGTCTTGGAGAAAAGACACACCCTCTGGGAGGCCCCATCGTGTGCACACAGAGAGGGGTAACGCCCGGATAGCGAGGCAGAGACTTACAGATCTCACACACCCTGTCGGGCCGGCAGGAC